AGAAATCTTGAAAATTATTTATTTATATTTTATGTTTCAATGCAAAATTAAATTATTCATATTATTTCATTCTTCTGACCATGGGCATATTACTTCCATTTTCAGGGTCTCTGGATATAAAACATTAAAAAATCACTTTTAATTTTTCATCATTGAGCTCTTCACTTTCATTTTTTATTTTACAATTACTTTGAAACAATAATCTATTTCGTGAATGCATCTATTTTGCAAAAATAATCTATTTTGTTATCATCTCAAGACAGTTCAGTAATTTTTTTAATGGTAATATGTAAAATTTATTCTTATTTTTAATCTCTCAGATTTCTTTGGCATTACCACAGAATTTATTTATTTGCTTTATTAAACAACATAGAGAAAAAGGGCCTAAAAAATTAGAGACAAATTTAACAATTAAAAACTAAACAATTACTAGTTTGGTAATCAAAGAGTATTAAACTAAGCCACCTTTTGTTTTTATGAACAAGAATACAAATTAATTATTATAGCTATAGTATTCCTTTTTCCTATTTTGAAAAAAAAAAAAAAAAAAAAAAAAAAGGTTTGAGGACTGTAGAATTACATTTGTGACTGCACTCCAGTTTATCAAGAAATTAACATCTGTTGAATGGGCTTATGAAGCAGCACCGTGTTGAAGAACAGCTGGATACAGCCAACAAAATAGCAAGAGATCGAAAAATTCATCTGTGGAAAGTTTGTACTTATAGTATTCTCAACAGAGTTTCCCATAAAATCAGATAATGTAATAAAATAGCAAAAATCAAAAAAACATTTTTACAAAATGAAAAAGTGAAATGGGTTAAATACTTCCCACATCAGTGGCTATTTGATGGGTTGTGGATTGCAACTTTGGAGAGATATCTGCTAAGTTTTATGGTTGAATGGTAGAAAACTTTGGTAGTCAATGGGATACCATGTAAATACCACTTAGTGTTACACAATAGCATATTTAACTGCTTATTTGACAGAAAGCAATTCTTATTTCTTTTTAATCCCATTACTAAGCCTTGCTCACTTAAAATACAGATTCTGCAAGAAATACTCTACCATTCGGAGTATGAAACCAACACTTTATTGATTATTATGAATTTTTTAAATTTAAAGTTATACTTAGTTAATTAATATAATTTAATTCAAGAAGTTAAAACAGAAAGATAGTACTTAATGAACTAATAGTTGGTTTGTGTCATTATAATTTTGCCAAATAAATTGCTTTACTCTTCATGTAAATCCAGAGGAACAACTATGTAAAAAGTAGGAAGATAAAAAAAATTATGCTTTAACAACCATTCCACTTAGTTAGAAAAGTGTTGTTACAAATGGCTTTATTGGAAAGATCAATTCAAACATATAAAACAGCTCAAGTATCACAAAAGAACAATGATAAACAATAAAAAAGAACAAATGTTTAAAGTAAGAATCAGAATAAATGAACATGGGAACCAAAGTAAAAAGTTAAAAATTTAAACAACAACAAAAGGAACATGAGAGATGTAGTCTTTAAAAGAGTTCATGCAAGTTCTGCCATTCCAGTATAATTTGCTTAATTTCTATCTGATATCGCATCTGAGACTCTTTATCTAGTCCTGGGCATATAAGATGCTCTGCATTCATGATACCTGAATTGCAAATTTGGCATATGCTAGATGGAAGGATGCCAATTTTATTAAGCTAATGTTCCATGCAATCGTGCCTTGTTTGCAGTCTGAAGTTTGCCACAGCATCTTTATAGGGTTTTTGACAAAACTTTTTCCATGTGTCTTGAATGTTAGCCCAGGATTTGCCTGTTCATTTTGCTGCCTGGTCAGATTTAAGAGTATCCATTATTTTCTCAAAAATATGCTTTTTAAGTGACTTTGGAGAGAATGGTTTGCTGTTTTGTGGCTCAAGTATTCCTCTCTTGCGTAGTGAGTCTGCCTTTTCGTTACTGTTGATACCTACATGTGAAGGCATCCTCTGAAAAATAATTGTTTTGTTGTGTTTATAAAGAAAGTTCAAGGTTTGACTTATTTCTGAGATAATCTGGGTATCTGTGTCATGATTTATAACTACAGCCTGGATGGCTGCTTTGGAATCATCTAGAGTAACTGTTTTAGAGAAATAATCAATCTTTATCTTGAGGTATTCCAGAGCCAGTGAGACTGCACAGATCTCTGCATAACAATTCGACATGAAGTGCATTGGAAGGACATTGGGAAAAAGAGTTTGCTGTATTCACCAGAAAAGTGTTTCAAAGTACAAACTTCACTTCTACCAAACTTCAATCTAATATCCAGATTTTTTTTAGTAGTGCCTCTGTTTATTCATAATCTAAACCATAGAATTAATTCAGAAAAAAAATATATATATGTGCACCCGCATGATTAATGTATGAAAATTTAATACACTTTTCCTTATTTCACTTATTACCCTGATTTTTATGTTACAAAATGAAAGCTGTCATTTATTTGCCACAGCAGAATTTTTTTTCTTAGATTGGTAAATAGTATTGATAGATTAATAAAGAATACACACTAAATTTATGATGACTTTTATAAGGGGGAAGAAAGGCATTTGTTAAATTCCTACTATGGAGTGGCCTGTATTAGTATTTACTGCACTCTTACTGGCAACAGCACTATTAATATATGGAATTATGTATTTTTATGTTATGCATCTGCTATGCTTTTTGGTATCTGTAAAAGAAATGCCAAACAGTGTGAAATCTGTGAAAGAGAAGCACCTCATCCAACCACAGTGCCATCACTGGGTTGGATGAGGTGCTTCTCTTTCACAGATTTCACACTGTTTGGCTTCTCTTTTACAGATACAAAATTAGATTAATTAGATAGATTGTGTATTTTTTATTGTAAACACATTGTGTATTTTTTATTGTATACACTAGAAATTATTTACAACTAAAAAACCAGCTGAAATGCATGGCAGGTGCATAATGGAAAAGTACCAAAATTACTTTTGCCTTTTTACATGAGTGAATAAAAATACCATCTGAAGCTCTAAATTGACTTTTAAAATGCAGAACTATGTTTTATATAATAGATTATAAATAATCCAACACATTACAATTTTTAAAGTACGTCAAGATGGACAAAAAGTTTCCAAAAACCAATTTGAAAAATCTGACAGAATACTGAAACAATTTGAAAATAAATAGCAATCATGAGAAAACAGTTTAACTTGATTAAAAAAAAAGAAAGCATTATAATTTATTTGTTATATAATTTCTTACAATAAAATATTTATTAGGTTATACAGTATCAGTAATTTCTTTCATCAGTAATACATCAGTAATTTCTTTCATCAGTAATACATCAGTAATTTCTTTCAATAAAACTTATCCTAAATATTTTTCAATCTCCGAAATTTTCTGACTGATTACACTCATCAAATGAAAAATGTGCAAATGATAAATTATAAGTATGTCTGCAAAGGAATTCACTCACCATGTAAATTATGAGCTTCAGGCTCACCAAGTAATGCAGGAGTATTGTTATCAGGAAAAGAATATGCTACATGATTTAACCCAGTATAACATTTTGTATATGAATCATCATAAAGAGAGAGAAGTGGTGGGGCACTTGGGGCCACTGTTTGTTTATCAGAAATCCATACATTTCTAAGAAAAAAAAAAAAAAACATATATACCAATTATTCAAACATTTTCTGAAATGCACATTATTTTCATGAAAAATTTCCAGGTAAAATCCTAGTATACAGTGCAGCCTTGGCGCGACTTTGAAAATTATCGCCAACACCAAAAATGATCCAAAGAACGTCTATATATATATTATACACACATAGTATATATACTATGTTTAACTGTATATTTTCTTTGAATGACCCGTTAACTACTCATCGTATATGTCCCGTTTTTACTGCTCATCATAAAGTCGCCAAAAGTAGCCAAATCCCGTGTGCACCGGATACTAGGATTAAACCAATTTCCATACTCATACTTAATTATAAATAAATTTGTTATGTAAATTTGTTTTATATTATCTAACATTTCTCCTTTTCTTTCAATTACCACATGAATATTACATATAGGTAGGAAACAAAGTGAAGGTTATGATATATACCCACATTTTTTTATAGTTATTTTGAGTGTATAATAAATTTACAAGATTAAAACTGCCTGAAAAATAGATTGTTAATTATAAATTTACTACATTTTATTAAATATACAAAGCTATAAAAATACTTATATGTACATACGAACCAAGAAATGTAACATCAGCAGGAGATTTATGTTATTCTGTTTATTGCTTTTTAAGCATGAGTACTTCAGAATTATAAACAACAAAGCAAATATTTCTTTAAACAACAAGAAAGGAGGTCAAATCAGTATAAAATATTTCTCAAAGTTGATATTGCAGAAAGTCAGTTTTGAGCAAACCACAAGAAGGCTATGAAGTAATCATTTAATATAAACTTGGCGAACTTTTACTTTCCATATAATGTTAAAATGACAGATATAAAAATCTTTAGTAAGCAATCGTTCTACCTGGTCTTGTCAGTCATGATAGCTGCCAAAAGTTAAAAGAGTTGTTCTTTGTAAACAAAACGGTACATCCCTTACATTGTGAAAATTAAATGTCCCACTTCTTGAATGTATCTTCACGCAGACGCGATTCCTAGCACTACTTTCGCTTATTTCCCATGCGCAGACGCATCAGTCAATTGAAGTTTATTCAATAATAGTTGGAAAGCGGAAATAAGTTGCTCGGTTGACCGTAGTGAGGATAACATGATTGAAGTGAAAAACGCTGAGTAAAATATGTAGCGATTACCATTTGTTCTTCGCTGCAGGGGAAAAAAAATATATTTTCCTTTAAATAACAGGTTAAGATAGCGTCAAATGTATAAAACACATGAACAAAAAATAATTTTTACTTCCAGTAAAAAAATTTAAAATACTTCGAATTATCTGTCTGTAATAAATTGTTGTTATTCAGATGTATTTATATTTTGCATTTTATTATTTCACTGAAACTTTCACTAGGCATGTTTGATCAAAATAGACAGTTCAGTTGTTGGTTTTTATCTCATTTTATTTCGTAACGTTTGCGAATTTCAGTGATATGGGTGATATGAATAAAATTCAATTTTAATCATAATCTGGAATTTATCGTGCAGTGATGATAAGCATATGATGTTATATTGTGGATGTTTTATTGTCTGATTTGTTCAGAACCTTTGCGCTATTTGAGTGGAATGTAACTTTAGTGAGTGAGTTCTTGTATGTTTTTTCTGCCCACAAAATATTTCAAATATATCATTCTTATGTTCATTCTAATTGCGTATTTCTTTTTCCCCCTATACTCATAAAGGAGAAGTGTCACTTAACTCTTTTGAAATATATTTAATCGTTTTTTAATATTAAAAATAATATCGCCATTATAAAGTAGAGTGCGGTTTTTTGTACTAATGCAAATAATTCTTTTTTTTTTTTTTTTTTTCCCCCATCGGTTACTTCTTGTAACTTCTGTAGAAAAACTGTCAGAATAACATGTTATATTGTTGCTCTAAATAAATTAACTACATGTATCTTCTGAATTTTGTATGCCTGTAGAATTTCTTTATGTTTTGATAGCTTTTTTTTTTTTTAAACTCATTATAGAACTCTATTCATCAGTCATCATGAAACAAATAGGGATAATTTACTTATTTATATCATTTGCATCTTCTTTGGGACATATACCAGAAGGCATCGCATCTAAACTACATGAGGATGATTTACAGGTATTTCTTTTCATTGCTGCATTTGTTTATATAATCTTTCATTCTTCCTCTCGTGAGAAGAAACACACATTTTTTTTTTTTTTTTTTTACCTTTCCCTCTGTAAACAGAAAAGTTGTAATTCCTGGCTAAAATTTATTTGTATGATTTTTTTAATTCTAATTTTTTCCCATTATAATAATTAAGTATATCTAAGAACTGTAGATTTTTCCAGGTTATTAATTATTCTAACATGGTAAAGTTTATTAATTTTCTATTGCTTTTAATGAATCAATATGAGTTATTAAAATGTATCTACTAGGTATATTTTATCATTTTATTTCATTCATATTATTTTCCTTAAATTGATGTCTTTTCTTTATTAGTGTATTGAAATTAAATTGTGTATCTTACTGTTGATGAATATGATCAGTTTTCTTGAAAAGTCCCTCCTTGAAGGCATCCCTTCTTTTAGATCAGGGGTAGTCAACCGTTTTATACCTACCACTCTTGTATCTCTGTTAGTAGTAAAATTTTCTAACCACCCACTGATTTCACAGTAATGGTGATTTATATAGTAGGGAAGTAAATTTACTTTATAAAATTTATAAAGCAGAGTTACAGCAAGTTAAAGGCATATAATACTAATTACTTGCCAAATGACTTTGTCTTATTTTCATGAAATTTGGCAGAATAAATCTTTATAAAACTACTTACTGTAGATCAATCTATCTTTTATTTTACCTTGCATACGGAAAAATTACATTAGTTAATTATATTATTAATGAGATCCCTGAGGCTGATGGTGGGTAACTGAATATTGAATATCGGTTAAATTTTTTTGAGTAACAAATGAATGTCTTCTCTTTCAGAAATATTCAGCAGCTTTCTTTCCTTTGTTCTAATATGAATTAACAGCACTAATTCCTGATTCCACAAGATCTAAGATAGGGAAAAGTATCAATAAGCCAATAAACTGTATACAATTTTCCACAAATTTGGATATAAGACTGGCAATTTTTTTTTTTTTTTTTTTTTGTAGGTTTCTGTATTTACTGTTGTCAAATTTATGTTTACTTTCTTCATAATATCCAGGACCGTATATAGATTTGAAGAGATCCTAAGCTATAAGGAGTACAAGTAAAATTTTTTATACGGGATATGGTACAATTTCTGGAGGTGGCCCCAAGAAAGTAGGAGCCCTAAGCTATAGCTTGTGCAGCTTATACATAAATCTGGCACTGATCATATCTAATTTCTGACAATTCTTCTTGGCTTGGCAAGTTAAATCAGCCTCTTTAGTATTTGTGGTAAAAGGATATTTCATCCAGTCATATACCTTCAGTTTCAAAATATCTTCAAATTGTTTTTCCCTGTCCAGTTTAAGTTCGTTGAGGTGGCTACTGAACCTGTTAGTATCCTCTATACATAATCTTTTATAAATGATAATTGACAAAATTGATGAAGTTGTGCCTTCAGTAGATTATGACAAAGTAATTCAAGTTTGTCAATAAATAATAGCACAGTACTGTAGCACTCTATAAGAGTTTTTATTAGCTCCTTGAAGTTGCAAACTGACATTGTTAAATCTCTTCAAAATATCTGCCAAGTAAAAGGCATTATTCTTTACTCTTTTTAACTCTCGACACAGATTGGTCTTGTTATTACTTTAAAAAACTATCATATTATGACACTATCATATAATGCTGCTAATCTAACCAAAGATGTACCCTTTGACAGCCACTGAACTTCCGTGTGCAAAAAAAAAAAAAAAAAAAAAAAAAAAAAAAAAAAAAAAAACTATCTTGTTAAAATCTTCATTATTGTGCTGGAAAAGCTGTCAAAACATTCCTTCATTCTTTGAATTGGATTTGATCTTCTTTACAACTCAAATTATTATAGTTAACAATCAATAGAGATTTGTACTCCGATGTTTTCCTACAAGATGTTATCTGTGCACTACACAATGAATACATAAAGCATTTGGCACTTCCTGCAAATCCATGATAGCGACCTACCATTGATGGTGTTCCATCAATAGTGCTCATATAGTGCTTGCAACAACAATATTTGGTTGATCTTTACATTATGGTAACTTGGCGATTTTTTGGCGAAAATTTGGCAACCAACTCTCCTACAGCAACCCTCTATTTTTTCCCCGCCGCCATTTTGTCTTCACGAAGTAAAGACATGTTTCTTTTCTTTTTATCTACTGAACACTTCTTCCAACAATCTACTAACCAAATTACACTTATGCTAGAAATTTTATCAAACAAAACTGCTTAATCATGACAAATATTCACTGCAAAATTGTACATAAACCATGTACACGCCGACTTATTTTTACTTAAAAAAACATCCCAGAATTGCACAAAAATGGCATTGCGCACACTCTTCACTATATCCATGTACACTGCTTTTTTGTCATAAATTAGAAAAATTTCACGAAAATACATGATAATTTTCTCAATCTTTAAACCCGGTAAAAAGAACATATATGAAATTACCTGATCGCGAAAAAGAATTTACCTTTTCCAAATATGAACATTTCCACATATAAAATAAATAAAATTTCCAAAAACTTTTACCTCTAAATCATCTATTACATTATACACGTCACCAACGAATTCATACCACAAGCATTACAAATACTTAGTATCAAATATTTAAATTATTTCCATGCACGTTTACTTCAACTTAAACGTATACCAAATTCCTATAAACATAAAATTCAAAAAATAACTATCATTTAATTAAAATATCACTAAACCATGTACACGTCGACTTATTTTTACTTAAAAAAAACATCCCAGAATTGCACAAAAATGGCATTGCGCACACTCTTCACTATCCATGTACACTGCTTTTTTCTCATAAATTAGAAAAAATTTCACGAAAATACATGACAATTTTCTCAATCTTTAAACCCGGTAAAAAGAACATATATGAAATTACCTGATTGCGAAAAAGTATTTACCCTTTCCAAATATGAACATTTCCACATATAAAATAAATAAAAATCCAAAAAACTTTTACCTCTAAATCATCTATTATATTATAAACGTAACCAACGAATTCATACCGCAAACCATTACAAATACTTAGTGTCAGATATTTAAATTATTTCCATGCACGTTTACTTCAACTAAAACGTATACCAAATTCCTACAAACATAAAATTCACAAAATAACTGTCATTTCAATAAATATAATTAAATTCAAAAACACTACTTAAAATATAAATGAGCACATACATTAAATTAATAAAAATTACCTTACAATCCTAATTACTTTAAACTAAATCATTGCTAATAACAATTTTCCCAATAATACCAAATTCCTTTCCACCTTACATTTAGAACAATGCATAAAAATAATATCCTCAAATAATTAAAAATACTAACTTACCTAATCTTCTTCAGAATCTTGATTATGTGTCCGATAAACTTTTCTTCTTTCTGTTTCAGGATCTTTAAAATCATACTTATATTTAACAGCAAGGTACCAGGTAAAATAAATAACTTAATAAAACATCTTTATTTCTATCTCGCACAACCTTAAACAAACATTTATTACTACCCTTTTCACTACCACTAAATACCCATTTCGAATTCACTTTAGTTAGGGCCATGGGATCCAAAAATTAACCAACACTGTTTCACACAACACACTATGAAGCTAAATACCAAAATGCTAAACGCAATAAAAATTTCCAGATATTTTCCCGATTTCCCCCCTTTTCCGATTAAAGAACCGTAATTCGTCCATTAATATCACATGACATATCCCATGGTCTCTCATTTCCCTCACACAAAATAATGCGTAATCGGAACTGAGTACTGCTCACATTATTACCAAAGTCCCAGGTAGTAACCTTTATCACCTCCAAAATGTCGCCAAACTACCAGTTACCATATTGTAAAGATCAACCCAATATTATTCAAATAAATATTGCTTTTTGTTAAGTATGTTTCTCAGAGTATTAAATATAGATAATCTTTTTGTATCTGTGATGAGATTTATTGTGAATAGCGTTTCTCCTCGTAATATATTATTTTCATTAAAATAGTATACATATGCCATTAATAAAGCATCATTATCTGCAATGGTAGATTCGTCCACCTGGCATAAAAAATGAAGAGTTTTGGAGAATACAGTCAAAAGTCGTTAATCCGGACTCGTCGGGACTTCGTCGATTCCGGATTATCGATTTTTCCGGATTATAGATCATCAGTTTAAATCTCGTAAGATGGCATGCAGAAATTCTAAAATTAAAAACATGAAACCTTAATTTATGAAATAAAGAACAATTATAATCTAAAGGGTATCAAAATTTACAAAAAAAAAAAAGCTTAATATTTATTTGTTTACTTTATTAAACATTTCTTTCAATGTAAGTTGTTTTAAGTTGCTTCGTTTTATGTGATAATACTTTCTCATTAATTCTATAAACAGACACAATTTCTTGTTCAGTTACAAAGTTCCGCTGTTCAAGTCCCATTAATTGTTGTGCCAAGAATACCAACTAACTTGTCAATGGAAATTTTTTTGTTTTCACTAACCTCTCTGTCACATTCTTCATGTCTTTATCCATTTTTTGCAGCAATTCCACTTTTTGTTTGATGAACATCGAAACATACTTTCGTTTTGTACGATCCTTTGGGAGCTCCAGAATTGGAAATTCTATTTGACATAATCAAAAGTTCAAGTTTACTTTTATTGATCTCACAGTCTGCAAAAAATAATAAGCCGGATCCAATTCGAAGATTAAGGAACAACGCAATCAACAACATTAACTGAAATTAATTAGATAATTTTAGATCATACCGTCCGTTATACATAAAACGCACACGCAAAAACGTATTCTGCGCTTGCACCCACGCATATGCGCAGTGGTAAAAGGTCTTACGCGTACGCATAAACGCCTATGCGCATGTGTCAACGCGGCGCATGTGCAGAAAGTTTTTAGCTTTGAGGTCCGGATTATGGGTGTCCGAATTAACGACTTTTGACTGTACTTCTA